CACTAGGTATTTCTCCAAAGATGATGATGATGAGGTTTTTTGTTTTGAAGCTTTTCTTTTAGCCTTGAATAGAAGATAATCTCTTTGGTGGAGGCAAATTTCTCATGTTTGATTCCATCTTGTTGAATGTGAGATTTGCGATCGCTCTGTCGATTGAGTTTGTTTCCGATTCCATCTTCTGGTTTCTGTTCCTACTGAAAAAAAAAAAAATCAAAGATGGTTGTTGATGAATCTTTCTACTCATGTAACAATTTTAAGCAGAAACTGATAAATGAAGAAAGATTCTTTTTCTACCTTGTTCTATCCTCAAGGAACTCATCTGATGTTGTGTTGTCTGATTCCGATTTCTGTTGTGAGTTCTTCGCAAGCCGGTAAAATGTATCGCGGAAGCACTTGCGGGTATCATCAGTCAACTAGATAAAAAGAAAACAGAGTTAGTTAATTCTGTTATAAAGACTGATCATATATCCGGAAAAAAAAAAATCGCAAACTAAGATTGAGATCACTACACTCACCATTTCTGAAGCTCTCTGTAAATCCTGCAATACAACTTCTTCGGCAGACGGTTCCTCCATGTTCATTTCGCACAAATCCGAGATCTTCATTGGTTCTTCCTCCTCCTTTGAACAAAAGCAATGTTCCAAGATTAACATATCTACCATTATACCGAGTTAATTCAGTTTGTAACCCGAAAATCCCATACCAAAACCGTAATCCAGAGCCGAATTCCGCAAGATCCGATCATCGCAGAACTAATGACCACTAGACTACCACCACTTAGTTGGATTACCAAAAGAGAGCATGTTAATTTAGTTCCCTTGTTAACATCGGAACTCGAACTCGTGATCATAACATCGCGCATTCACTATTCCTTATAGCACACACTACCTTTTGACATTGCTATATATATCAAGAAGAGTGGTTTTCTTACCATAAAAGGCATGTCTTGACAAGTTTCCCAGTTGTAATTGAACATGGGGACTTCCCGACCATCGAGATACGCAGAGGAAGAACCGGAACTGTTGTAATTATCCGACTCCTTGAAAGAATCAAGATTCTCATTCCCTGGAACATCCTCCAAAATGGAACTTCTTCAGTCAAAACCGGAAAACCAAAAACAGACAAGATACAAACACAAATTACACCTGAAAGTATTTTTCAATCTTTTTAGGTGTTGTTAAAATAGAGAGTGTGTGTGTATGAGGGCTATTACAAGAACATGTCATCCATCTGTTGGATCCCATCGAAATCATGAAGCGAAGAAGCTGAGTTATAGAAACAACCATCACCACTAGATTTTAACCTCTTTGCTTCTTCTTTTACAAGTAGTTCTTCACTCTTCTCCATATCTATCTGACTGTATAATCCTCCACTGAAACCATTGTTAATCACATCGTAATCAAAACATTTCTCTGCAGCTGCTTCTGATGTGTTCATGTTCCATCCACCACTCCAAACATCAGGAGATGGGAATGAATCTGATGTTTCTTGATAGTTAGGCACAACAAGATCCTCTATATTCCTCCTCGAATAACGATCCATGTCTACTATACTTTTTCACCTGTTGAT